CTGAGCTTCTTCCTTGGCTTTGAAGGCTCTGCGCAAGAGAGTTCAGTAGCGTTGCTAGTGCATCGATGTCCTGAGAAGGAGCTGGGAGAAAAAATTGCCCCAAAAGCAGGTTATGGGGCACGAGGCAGGCTAGGAGGGTGAGTCAGGGCCACCTGGGAGAAACAAGCGTCCCTTCTGGTCCACTTCTGCCTTTCCCGCGGGAACAAGGAGCTCCTGAGGGGACATGAGGCAGCAGCTGAAAAAGCGAGGTCTAGCTCTGGACGTGAAGTGGGTGACACTGGTGTGCGGGGACCGGCCCGGGCCCAGAGCGGCGCGTTGGGCTGGTGATCTCCGCAGCGCTTCGGGGGATGTGGTGGACGGGCCGGGTGTTAGAAGCGCCAGAAAGAAAGCTGAAATAACCGAGAACAAGAAAGGTTTGTGGGGGAATTCAGGGATAGGAATAGATAGAGTGTTTTGAAGAAAGAATGATACTTGAATGAAGTATTAAAGGAGGTTTATGTTGTAAACAAACTACAGGTTAAATTACTGTGAAGAGTTTGGACTTGAGAGGAAGAGGGGATAGAGAGGGCATGGGAGTGGAAATTACTTCTGTAGGTGTGCCTGGATGGAATCACACCAAAACCTTGTGTGGTGGAGTCACGGAGAATGACCAAAAGCAGATATTTAGGGAAACTTCATGAGGGGTTAATTTTGATAGTGCCACAGAGGATTTCTCTTTTTCTTCAGTTTCTTACTTAATGATGTCTGTAGTCTGGTTGCTTTTCTGGCAGCCTCGTTTCAAATTGCAGCAGGAAGCTATGTGGAGAATCAATGGAGGAGTGCTGTAATAAGTTATTAGCTGGCGTGAGAACCTTCTGTCTTAATCTGGATCATTTAAGCTCCCTCAAAGTCTTTCATCTGCCGTGGTTCAGTATATTAAGTAGATTTTGAGGCATACTTCTGGTTTTAAGCTCTCAAACTGTTCCTCAGTTTGTCAGAGTCCTCATGCTGAGCTAGCTGGCCAGCAAGGCCACGTTTTGTGAATTGCTCTCATCTTATTTTTTTTAACTTGGTTTGCTGGTTTGTCTCTCAGATTGTCTTGACGATCACGGCAGATTGGCACTATTGTCACAAGCACTTTTCTTTGACATCTGTGATGTGTCCATGGAAAATGCTTTGACCTAGATATCCTTTTTTGAAAGGAACAGAGAAGCAGGAACACTATCCTTTCCTTCACTTACCCGAAATAACCAGCAGTGCTCCCTTCTGAATGGTTCATGTCAGGTTCATGGTTAGTTTTGTTCTTCCTCCCCTCTTTTCCAAAAACAGTTTAGAACTACCTTGCTAGTTATAAAGGCAGTTATAAATATTGGCACTAAGCAGCTATGGATAATTGAGCCTTAGAGCCCAACTTTATGTTCTGTTTTACAATACATTTGTCAGTCTATATACAATTTTATAACAGTATATGAAGCTTGCCTGACATTCTTCTTGAGAAGTGTAATTATTGTTAACCATACAAACAAGAAAAGCTTGTATGGGAAATGTAATATGGGAATTTATAATAGCAAGAATGGGAGCACATAAGGTTTTATTTTTTGGGGGAAGGAAAGCTTGTCTTTTGGTTTTGAAAAGCATTTAGGGTAATTGGTGCTATCACAGCTTAAGTACTTAATAATGGATCTTAGTGCTGTGTTTCTGAGATGTCTTTTTTTAGAGTGAGGAGAGGGAACAGTGTATGTGAAACAGCATGAATGCCTCTAGACTTCCCCCTCCCTGTTCTCTGAGCTGGTCTGGCAATTTGGAGATTAATGATGCAAAATGGTTTATACATGACTATTTATGCTGCATTTTTCCTGGTTTTCTGGGCAGCTCATGTTACTTTATTAACTGTTCCCCAGAGAAGCTACTAAAAGTATCTGAGCTGAGTTTTTGGAACTGATCCAGTCATCCTGGAGCACGCAGAGTTGTCACAGAAGTGAAATGTTCACAGTGGAATGATAGGTGGGAGTTCTCTGTATGTATGCAACACGTGTGTGTGTGACAGAGTGGCTCCTGCAAGAAGGGAGATTCACTTCTGCACTGACTTCTCATCACTTATGTTTTTTAATTCTAAACCATTCTGGCTTTCTTGCATCACAGAAATTCTATTTGCTGCTGCTGCAGTTAAAAATGGATGAATTTCAGGGTGCTATTCAAGGTGTCTCATGGATCTTCAGCGCTGACAGATTGGTTGACTGTGGAACCAATTGTTGGCACTGGTTTCTTTGGTCTACTTGAGGAACATGATTTTGCTGCAGTGTGATAATAAAATCCATGGATTTTAATTCAAAAGTCCCTAGATCTGTAGGAACTTAACTGACATGTAATGATTTTCAGCTTATAGAGTATATTTCTTTTAAAAAGCTTGTTTTTTATATAATTAATATTCTGTAGTTAGATGGCTGTAATATCCACTGAGTTATGGAATAATTAATTTCCTGCAGGCAGTTTGGCAGATTAATTGTAGAGTCAGGAACAGAATTTTGTCCAAGACTGCTGGGAAACATCTGCCCAAAGATCATAACAGAACATCTTAGATATACTGCCAGTGCCACTATTTTGTTTCACTAGCAGTTTACTCACTTGCTTTAGCAAAAGAAAACTCGTGGTGAAATTAATAGATCTCTGTAGTGTTTTAGCTGTTTTTCAGCATCATAGTTTACAACCTGAAACCTGTTTTTGTGAGAAATAAATTGTTTTAATCCTGAGCAGTCTGAAATTCAGCGTGGAGTATAGCACTATTTTTTCTTCCCCCTCTGTAACTGATTCTAACTTAGTTTAGTAAATTCAACTAACTTACCAGAGATACAGCTTTCATAAGGAGCTGTGCTTTGGATTGTCTTTATACACAGATAATGCTGTGGTTCATAAAATAAATGGTATATAATACTACTGAGTAGATGTAGTATGACAATATTACTTGTGGTATCAGGGCTAATTAACTCCCACCAACACCGTGCACAGACCTTAATCATGGAGGCATGAAGGTACACCAGCAGCTAGTGGTCAAGGAAAGAAAAATGCAATAATAAAATAAAGGCCAGATTTCTGTTTTCCCTGCAATAGGTAGGTTAGAGGATAGAAATCATTTTTGAAGCCTATGAAGCATGTTTCTAATTAGAACTGGTTTGTGTGAGGCTGCATTCCACCTCCTTCCCCTGCTGTAACCATTAACTGGTGGCCGTTTGACTCCTGGAGGTGTCTGCAGTGTTCCTGGCTGCTTTGATGCTCACTGTGGATTTCTCTTCCTAGATAACCTGCTGGGGATCTCCTGGGTGGACAGCTCCTGGATTCCCATCCTGAACAATGGGAGCGTGCTGGACTACTTCTCGGAGCGCAGCAACCCCTTCTACGACCGGACCTGTAACAACGAGGTGGTCAGGATGCAGAGGATGACCCTGGACCACCTGAAGTAAGTCCTCACCTGAAGCTGCCTCCCGTGCGACGTTCTTTGTCCCTCCACCCAGAGGCTTTGAGGGTTGAATGGAAGCGTGCTTGGAACCTCCTTCCCATTTGTGCTTTTTAGTCCCACCACTTGTCAGGGAGCCCATTTGTGGGGGGGGTTTTCTTTTTTTGTATTTGGATGTCTTCTGATTCCTCTTATGCCATTTCAAGGAGGTTCTAAGTGTGAAGGTTTCCATGTATGTTCTGAGGCTCCAGTAAATCAGTGTTGAGATATTTCTCTGAGTTAGAAAAGCTGTCTTCTCTCATCCTGCCAGCTCAACAGAACCCAAGTAACAGTACTGTAGTTAAATGTCTTTCTGTGGTGAGTAGAATTTATATTAGGGGATACTTAGAGTTCATAAATAATTTGTTTCCATATCCTGCTGGCTATGTGCCATAATTAGTACAGAATCCCTCCAAAGAGCTGGCTTTTTAGTATGGATAATAAAAGTAGTGAGTGTTGTGAATAAACTGATCACAGATGGTTGTGTAATGGGATTGCAGCATGCACAAGTTAACTTCCTTTGCAGTTCCCCATTTGCTACACGGAGCACAAGTGGGATGTTTGGAAACTATTTAAAGGCTCCACAATACGATGGGGGGTGTGCAAGCTGAGCTCAGAGTTCCATGCTAAAGTGCACTTGTGCTCAGATGTGGCTGTGGGGAGGCTTTCACATCAGACACACAGATGGGCACCTCATACACTGGTCCTTTGTTTCTGTGTTTAAATGGCATCTCTATGATGATGGGTTGTTGTCTCTCTTGCTGTTTGTTTGCTAACATGTTCTACTTGGATGTTGTGTCAAGCTGTTTTCAGTCCCTTTTGTACATACAGCTAGGTTTTGGTAGCTAGCTCAGGAAGTCCCGTGCCTTTATTTACTGCACGTTATACAGAAGAGCTTCCAAAACATCAGAACTTTATCCCTTCACTGCCAGGTCCTTGGGTGACTCTTCACTTCCTACAGATTTTACTTTGAGTAAAATATGTATTCTGGTTGCTGCTTTTTCAGCCAGATGGTTGGAGTGGAGTACATCCTTCTTCATGCTCAAGAGCCCATTCTCTTCATCATCCGAAAGCAGCAAAGGCAATCTCCAACACAAGGTAAAGTCACTGACTCTTGACACTGTTGAGAAGGCAAATCAATCATTTTAGTCTGTCCCCAGTTTGTGTTTAAGCCCTTCTGGTTCCCCTTTTTTGCCTTTATCTTAAATCTAAATAAAAACATATGAGGCTTTATGGTGGGGTGGAAGTATTTTGTCTAGCAGAAAGGCCTCTGGTGTCCTCATAGCAGGGGTTGCCATCTTCTGGTGAAATGGGGAGAGTGCAGTGAGAGGGATTTTTGCCATGGGATATTTTCCTGTTAGGCTATGCAAGAATTTTCATTTTTGTTATTTGTATAAAGGCTAACCATATCCTTTCTTGGGGCTGATGAGCTTAGTTTAATTTGAGCTAATCATCTGAAATAGTTAGTATGTGATTTTTATTTATTTTGGAGAACCACAATTTCCATTAGATACGGAGAGAGCTCGTTTGTGCTTCTGTTTGTGTCTCCTCCCTCTCTTTTTCAGTAGCTACTGGACTGTCTTCTGTCTTTACTGCATGTAAAATAATTTGGTCTATTTGAGAGTAAGCTTTAGAGAAAAGAAAGGTAGGGTTAGTGCTAGTTATTTCTGAACTGTTTTCAGTGACTTAGGCTCTGTGTGCATTTTGGTCTTGTACAGGACTTTGCCTTGTCTAGCAATGCTTCTTATTTGCTTATATCAAGTACTGACCTCTTTCTATTGCAGTTCCATTCTGAAAAAGAACATATACGATTCCTTCTTTAATTCCATCTTTAACTTGTTTCTTTATTAAAGGTTTTGACGCAGCTTTCAAAAGGTGACTATGGAAATATCATGCAGCCCTTCATTTCCTGTTTTGGCACCCTTTAGACAGTAGAGTTGGAGCTTCCACAATATGTGTTCCTATTATGGTACCTTGACTGAGTCACATAATTCCCTAGCTCAGCTGCTCCCCGTGTGTTTCATTTTGTCATGGTACAAATGTTACTGTATTTGAGACATGAGAACAGGGATGGAAGACTAAAAGGTAAGGAGTTCACAGCTACTGTTGAGTACTCAGAGCTGCTGCAGGCCTCTCTTATGACTTCTGTGTGGTTTTTTTAAAAATATATTTATATTTTAAATTCCTTAAGCCAAGGTTTTGCTTCTTTGAAGTGATTTTGGAAAAATCTTTAGATCTAGTGATTAGGGAGAGTTACCTGTCTAGGGAAGTAGGCTGCTCTGGTTCAGAGCTGTGAGACCATAAAGCTGCTGTTCTGTGTTTTGCTTCACTTTAAGGAAATGCTGAGAATCCTCTTTCTTTTGAGAAGTGGGTACCAGCTGTCTTGGCCTGTTAATTTAGGCAGGTGTCTATGCTGAGAAGGATGAGTTTAGTCCTGTCAGTAAAAAGGTTCAGGCAGAACATGTTAATATAGATTGAGGAACTGAAATAAATGTGTATACAGGTAAGATCCTTGGCAATGTGAGGCTGATAGCTGTGGCTTCTCAATTGAAGAATATTTGACAGAGTATTGTGGAGAGAGTTGGGATGTTCCTCTGCACTGCAGCTCTCATGAGCAAGAGTTTTTGATCAGTCAGAGGTTCCAAGTCTGATTTAGCAAATGCCTTTGGGAGGTAGCCTTTTTTTGGCAGAACGTTATTAACTTTGAGTGGTGTGCTTGGTGTGTGCTCAGCTGCCATTGGGTCTGGGAAGTCTGGCTAAGAGGACTCTACAAGCTGGAGAAAGCTGAAGCCAGAAAAATGAAACCTGATGTTGTTGTGGGTCCCTGTTGGTGGCAAAGGCAAGTGGAACCACTTCCAGTACAGTTCATTTGATTTTTTATTGTGTAGCTCTGGAAACTCCAACTCTTGTAACGTCAGTTATTTATTTGTAGGACTCAAAGCTGATGCTTTTCCACCTGGAAAGCAAACCTTGTTTTCTTTTCCCATTATTGGTCTGTGGCTAAGATGTAAATAAAGCACCCTGAAGCAAAAGGTTAAAAAGAGAAAATTCGGTGATGAGATGAATATTACAATTTCTGCTGTTACTACTGAAATTCAGCAACAAATAACACAGTCTTCAGCCAGAGCTTTAAACTCATCTTGCCTTTTGTTTTCCTTTTTCTCCCTACAGTTATTCCATTGGCCGACTACTATATTATTGCTGGAGTGATTTATCAGGCACCTGACTTAGGCTCTGTCATTAACTCCAGAGTTGTAAGTGTTCTGTGCATTTCATGTATACTGGTTTGTACCTGATTTTACTTGTGGTTGTTCCCCAGGCTCTTTTAAATCCCTGCTTCAGTGTTTTTGGGAAAGATCTTATGTAGCATGCAGTAACTTAAACATGGGTTTTGTTAATATAGATTGAGGAACTGAAATAAATGTATATACAGGTAAGATCTATATATGGCAGCCGAGCACACACCAAGCACACCACTCAAAGTTAATAACATTCTGCCAAAAAAAGGCTACCTTCCAAAGGCATTTGCTAAATCAGACTTGGAACCTCTGACTGATCAAACACCATGGGTTAACATAATGTGCATCCCACATGGAAATGAAAGATCCAAAGAGAGTGTAGTGTGGTCCAAAAAGTAGGATACATTATTTAAGGATGAAGGATCAGAATAACTGAAGCCACACAATTGGCAGAACAGCATGAGGTTCAAATAATCAAAAGAAAAATTACATGACAATACAAAAGGAATAATAATTAAATACATACTCAGTGATGCTTGATTTTGAATGTTCTTGTTAAGGTAGTTTAATAGTTTAAATGAAGCTTGTGTTTTTCAGTTGATGTGATATTTGTTTTTAAATTAGATAGTTGGATTTGTTTTGATTTCTTCTGTTTTTAGTAAACTACTGCTTTTGCATATTTGTCAGTCTGAAAAGCATTTCAGAAAAGGTCTTGTAAGGGCCTGTTTAAGAGTTAACATTCTTGGTCCAAAAGTCCCAAGTTCCCTTCCCAGAGTGAAGAGGAATACAAAATACTAATGTTAAAATCCCTGCTTTCAAAACTTTCAACTGTGTTTTCTCCTGAAATTCTGAACCCTGCCTGGAACACGTTCTTGTTCTGAAAGCTGACTGCAGTGCATGGAATTCAGTCTGCTTTTGAAGAAGCTATGTCCTACTGTCGGTACCACCCGTCCAAGGGCTACTGGTGGCATTTCAAAGATCAAGAAGAACGAGGTATGACTCCTGGTTGCTCCTGTGGAGTTTGGGAGGAGGGAAAATAATGTAAGGAAATGTTTGAGGCAGTGCACAGTGATGCTGTAGGTGGAGCCAAGGGTGGGAGATGGAAATGGTGAGCTGTGTGTCAATGTTCAGTAGGCAACTCTTCAACTCACTGGTGACCAAAGTACACATTCAGAAGTCAGGCCAGTTTGTCAGGAGAAGAGAATTGTCCTTAACCTGTTTTCCACAAAAAGATAACTCACGTCAAAGAGAGAACATAGGTGAAGTTTAGAGGAGAGGCAGATACCACCTTCTCATGCCAGAAAGAGCTGCTAAGAGAACAGAACTTGTAATGCTGCTGCTTTTACATTTCTTTGACTTGCAGAGAAAGTGAAACCAAAAGCCAAGAAGAAAGAAGAACCAAGTTCTATTTTCCAAAGGCAACGGGTAGACGCTTTGCTTTTAGACCTCAGACAAAAGTTTCCTCCCAGATTTGTTCAGGTATGACACTTATAAGCCATAGTGTTACTGCAAGTTGAACAGCTGATACTGAGTGGGAATTCTGTGTGCTTTCTGTAATGGGAACATGGATTAATTATGTTTGAAATGGAAGGCTCTGACTGGTGCATAGGCTTCCTCTTTGTAATTTCAGGAGTCATTAAGACCTTGGCAAAACTGAGGGCAAGTTTTATTATACAAACTCCATATCTAATCACAGGGGAGATTAGATCTGTCACCTATCAGCTTTTGCTTCTGCTTCCAGTTTCCTGCTGTGTGAGCTCAGTCAAGCCACCATAGCTGTTTTGTTTGAGTTGCTCCATTGTTCTGGAGGCTCATTAATTAGCATGGAAATTCTTGGCATTCTGTGAAGTAGTCATGTGACTATTCTGATTGTCTCTAGTAGCCATTTGCTCCACCAGGTCTTCAGTTTGGGAGCAAAGGAGGCAATGTTTACAATGTCTCACAAAATGTTTTACTCCTCAGATGTGGGAAAGTCTTGCTAATGGTGTATTTTTTCTTTAGTGCTTTTCAGTTGTCAGAGGGAAAAACTGTTACAAAATGTTAATCTGATTTTTTAAAAAAATGTATTTAGCTATCCCTTCTACCCTCAACTCTTACTTGCAAGAACTCATTGTTTGGTTTATATTCCAAAATGAATAGTAGGAGGGGTTAAAAATTATTACTAAAATTATTACATTGGTTCTGCTGACATGTTGTTTTATATGTTTTTTTTTCCTCCCTCCACAGCAAAAGCCTGGAGAAAAGCCTGTCCCAGGTAGGACTCTAATACTTCCTCAAGACTTGAAAAAAAGGCTCTATATAGCAGCATCTTCCAGTTGCCAGATAAACTCCTGGCTGCTGCTCCTGAGGGGGTTAGGAATTCTGGTGTTGCCTAATCATGCAAAGTACTGAGTGAGACCAGGGTACTAGGTGAGGGTTCTCTGTGACAGCTGGAGTGCACCTGAAAAAAATCAGTTCTAGAACTATTGCCTGAAGATCCAAATGCAGGAGATGGTCTGTGAAAGGATCAGTGAGGGAACAGTTTAGTTAGTCCAGCATTTTTAGTTAATTTTTAATTTTAGTTAATTTTTTAGTTCAGATAAAATCCAGTGACTTTTGTGCTACAAACTCAGGAAAACTTGTGAAGGCTTTGAGCTGATCATAAGCAACCTCAAAGCAGGAAAAGCATGAACTATCTCTCTTCAATCTAGTCTACTTTTATACCTGTATAGGTATGAATTTGATTATTCTTATACCTTTGAAATTAATTTTGCCCCTTAGGCAGCAAGAATATTTTCTAAGTACTCTGAACAGTATTTTAGGAATAAAAATTGAGGTTTAACTTTTTTGCTATTACTTCTTAAGTGGATCAAATCAAGAAGGAACCAGAACCAGCCCCTGAAGCTGTCAAGCCAGAGGAAAAAGAGACTGTGAAGAATGCTCAGCAGAGTGCTGGTGCTAAAGGACCACCTGAAAAACGGATGAGACTCCAGTGAAGGGAGAAGTTGTTACATATCTGGACTAGTCAATACCTGAAAAATGGGAGATCCTTGCTCCCCTTTCTTTTATATTTAAACTCTTCCACTGAGACTGATGATTTGGGGACTGAAGTCCCTGTAACGCTTTTTTCTGCAGAAACCTGTCACACAGATGTTAGTGTCATGGTGTGCACTGCATCACAGAAGGTGTTTGCAGCCTTCATCTTACTTGGAATATTGGCTTCTGAGAACGTTTTTTTTGAATGGATGTATTTTTCAGCCTCTTGAAATCTTCACAAACTCTTGCATCCCTTATGTCTTGGTTTCCTTTGTAAAAATAAAAAGCTTTATACAAAAAAAATTGAAATTGAATTCTTGGCAGATAAAGTTCCTGGCTGCTGGAATGCCTTTCTTAAATCCTTACTTTGCTAGCAGCAAATATGCCATGTGTGCTGGCAGGATTTTTTTGTTTGGATATCAGAATATATTGTGTGGTATTTTGAGGAAGAAAAGTTCAACTAAAGGGTTTAGGCTGCCTCCTATAAATTGCTGTGCCTTTAGTATGCTTGAGATGCAGGTAAAATATTTGATAACTGGACACTCAAATCTGTGTAATTAGATGTCTGACTCCTTTCAGTCTCTAAATGTTCTTGGGCACTCATTTTACTTGATGGCTAAGGTGGTCTTTTATTACAAAAGCCAGTGTTCTGTGAGAGAGATTTATGGTGACATAAAACAGGCTGAAATGTTTTGCTGTAACACACTCAGTGAAGCTGTTTATATTTCTCCTTTTTTTTTTTTTACTGTAACTCAAATATATCAATTGCATCTCTTCCTCTGTGCTTCTAGCACTTCCTTACTGCATCTGATCACCTTGAGTGGACATCTGCTTTCTTGGATCTGAAGAGGCAGGGCAAAGGAAGAGGAACATCACTGCCAGCTATACACTGCTCTTTAAGGATGTTGCTTAAACAAAACTTTTCTCATTTTTCTGAAAAAAAAGAAAAAGAAAAAAAAAAAAAAAAAAAAGTCCGCCCTTGCAAAAGAGAATTCGTCCGTGACAGCATCCAGCCCTGCTCCTTTTTTTTTTTTTACTGTAACTCAAATATATCAATTGCATCTCTTCCTCTGTGCTTCTAGCACTTCCTTACTGCATCTGATCACCTTGAGTGGACATCTGCTTTCTTGGATCTGAAGAGGTAGGGCAGGGGAAGAGGAACATCACTGCCAGCTATACACTTTGCTCTTTAAGGATGTTGCTTAAACAAAACCTTTTTTTTTTTTTCCCAGAAAAATTAGAAGTCATCCATTGCAAAAAAAAAAAAAAACAAAAAAAAAACTCTGGTTTTATTTTGTCATTGAAGTAGCAGAGAGATCCTTGAAATACCTTGCTTGCTTTTCACAACTGTTCCCTGCTTTGTTGTAGTAAACTGTAGCAAGCAAGCAAAATATCTACATGGCAAACAAAATGTAGATGGAAAGGCTAAGATGTGCTTAGATAACCTTGTAAAATTTATTTTATTATGAGAGGCTCAGTTTCAGTAACTTAATAACAGCTCTGGGTAGCTGTTGAATGAGGATGGAAAGACCTGTGTAACTTTTGTCCTGTAATCTAGAGCTGTAACATTAAAGAGGTAGGTAAGCCAATAGCTGTTCAATGTTGATGCAGATACAGACCTAAAATTCCTATATGGTTGTACTTCAGTGTGTATTAGCCTCATTTCATACCATGTGGGTCATGTTTCAGCAGCTCTTTTTCCAAATGTTGGTAGAAGTAGATAATCAGCTAGTGTGAACACTTAAATCAAGTGAGGATGTAGAGAGCAATTACTCAAGGATGCTCAAAACAAGGCAGAACTAATTATTCAGCACTGAATAATTACCTGAAAGTGTTTTGTACAGCTCAATGTCTGAATAATTATTCTGCTGGAGAAGAGGGGTTTAGAGGGCAATAAAATGAGTAGGAGAAAAGTTTCTCCTATGAAGCCATTGGGAGGACCAAGACTTTAGTTCCTTAGGAAAGAAAGGACAAATACTGAGTCTTTATAAAACTGAATACTGTGAAGCAAGTAGGAAATAGAGAACTCTTGTTCTGCCTGGTAGTACAGGAATGGAGGGACAAGTTAATGAAGCTGAACTGGAGTTACATTTAGACAGAATTTTTACATTTTGTGCTCAGAACTTGAGCTGATTCAGAGATGAGGGTGGAACTTGAAGGAGAAAACTGTCCTTGGATCTGTGTCTCTTAACAGCCTTTTTGCTTTCTTCAGCAATAGCTGCTGTGGGCTGGTGTCAGAGGGTGTTAATAAAGATGGAATTCTGGTCTGATCCCATCTGGGTTAAAGTGCCAGCATCTAAGCTATGGAGAGGATGGAAAATGGCTTCCATGCATGAAACAATGGATCTGAATGTGATAAGCCTCTCACAGGGGAATTATCTTTTCCGGAGAGAATTGTGTTACAAAGCAGTAAGGGATGTTCCTGATGAGTATGTTGATTTCTTAGTAGCTATCCTTCAATGCTGAAGGTTTGCAATCTGAGGGAATGAGGGATTATGCCAGATATTGCTGTTAAACTCCAAGTAATTTAGTGCCAAGAAGCTGTGAAGCAGCTATCTTCTGGCCAGTAATGTTTTTCAGTATATGAGAATCTAAGCCTTTGCTCTAACTGCAGCTTGGTTTAGAGCCTGAGCATTGAAGCCTAAAGTCCTTCAAGGGACCTTCAGTATTTGTAAAGCTTACAGATGAGAAGGAAATAAGGACTTCTGAGATTTGCCCTGTGCATCACTTCTTTTTGTGTACAGGAGAGATTTGGTTGTACAGCAGAGCTATCTCTGCCTTTTTGCTCTTAGATAGTAACCATTCAGACTTCAAAAAGGTCTTTTCTTGGCCTACATCAGAGTAGCAGGAGCTAAAAATGACCTGGAACTCAGAGGGACAGAATCACAGAATGTTAGGAGTTGGAAGGCACCTCTGGAGATTGAATCCAACCCCCCTGCCAGAGCAGGACCATCTAGTCTAGGGCAGGTCACACAGGAACACATCCAGACGGGTCTTAAAAGTCTTCAGGGTAGGAGACTCCACAACCTCCCTGGGGAGCCTGTTCAGTGCTCTGGAACCCTTGCAGTAAAGAAGTTCTTCTTTATGTTGAGGTGGAACTTCCTGTGCTCCAGCTTGTGTCCGTTGCCCTATCACAGGGTACAAGTAAAAGCAGGTTGCCCCTTTCTTTTTGACACCCAGCCCTCATATATTTATATGCATTAATTAGATCTCTCCTAAGTCTTCTCCAGACTAAAAAGCCCCAGGTCTCTAAGCCTCTTCTCATAGGGCAGGTGTTCCAGTCCCCCAGTCATCCTCATAGCCCTCTGCTGGACTCTCTCGAGTAGATCTCTGTCCCTCTGGAAATGGGGAGCCCAGAACTGGACACAATACTCCAGGTGAGGTCTCACCAGGGCAGAGTAGAGGGGGAGCAGGACCTCCCTTGTTCTGCTGGACACACTTTTCTTAATGCACCCCAGGATCCCGTTGAGCTTCCTGGCCACAAGGGCACACTGCTGTCCCATGGACAACTTGTTGTCCACCAGGACTCCAAGGTCCCTCCC